CAGTGGTGCTCAGTACCAGGACAAGAGGCAATGGGCACAGACTGGAATACAGGAAGCTCACTCTGAACATCAGGAAGCCCTTCTGCACTGTGCAGGTGACAGAGCACTGGCATAGTTTCCCCAGACACACTGGGGACTCTCGTCCTTGATGCTCATCAGAAGCAGCTGGGACATGGACTTGGACACCATGCTCTAAGAGTCTCTGCTGGAGTAGGGCTTGCACCAGAGGGACCCAGAGGACTCTGCCAACCTCAGCCATTCTTGGATTTCAGATGTGTTCAAATGCTGTTCCTGAATTCATCCTCTGACTGAGGAAGTCACTGCTCTCAAAATAGAAAAAGAATATTTTGTTTGTCTCCAGTATTGTGTGTCCCATCTCTGAAATATTTCTGGTGAATTATGGCAAATTTGAAGAACTTTAAACTCAGTTCACTATTACGAGCTCCTGCAAGACTGCAGGGAAGTCCAAGACTTCAGGGAAAACTGCATCATCTTCTTGCTGCCATATATCCTGGTATGCAGAGATTTCTTAGCCCTGTTTCCCCAAGAAACATCATTGTTTCATACACATACTGAAATTATCAGTATGCTTAATTCTGTTTGTATAAAAAGCTCTTAAGTGCAGGTTATGGCAGTTGTCCTGGCTGTTTTTCTTAACATCTTTTGGCAGCCTGAAAAAGTTTAACAAGACAGTTTTACATTTAGCAGGAATTTGTCAATGTTGCTATCACACCTAACCTAGTCTGCTAAGTGTAAGTGTGCTGCAAAATAATACTACAACAGTTTGCAATAATGCATCTACCTCACCATAAGATCTTACAATGCCTGTATATACCTTGGAGAGAAAGATGTTTCTTGAATACCTCCAGGGGCAGTGACTCCATCACATCTCTGGGCAGCCTGTTCCAGTGCCTTGAAGCTTTTTCTGAGAAGAAATTTCTCCTAATATCCAACCCAAATCACCCCTGCTGCAACCTGAGACCATTCCCTCTCCTATCTCTAGTTAGTTGGGAGAGGAAGCCAACCTTCAGCTCACCACAACCTCCTTTCAGTTGTATAGAGTAATAAGGTCTCCCCTAAGCATCTTCTACTCCAGAATGAACAATCCCAGTTCCCTCAGCTGCTCCTCATAAGACTTGTTCTCCAAACACTTCATGGCTTTGTTGCCCTTCTCTGGACACGCTCCATGGCCTAAACATATTTCTTGTAGTGAGAGGCCCAAAACTGAACGTAGTACTTGAGATGTGTCCTCAATAGTGCCAATTACAAGGAGATGATCACATCTCTAGTCCTGCTGACTGCACTATTTCCGATGCATTCCAGGACACTGTTGGCCTTCTTGGCTACCTGGGCACACGGCTGGCTCATGATCAGCCAGCTGCCATCTAACACCCCCAAATCCTTTTTTTCTATCCTCTTCACGGGACTGGATTTGCAGGAGAGAGCAACACAGATGGGTGAGCAAGTGATATCTCTGCAAACCTCCTGCATAGAGTAATGTGTGCTGGGAGCCCAACATGGTTCTGCAGCACATGCCGCATATATGCCCAGTGCTATGAAGGATAGGGAAGGACCAATGGCAGCCCCACTCCAGCAATATGGTCTGCTCCAGCTCTTCCTCTTTTTTTTTTTTTTTTAAAACTGAAATATTAAAAAGGTCACACTGTATTTGTATTATCAATTTTGCAGAAATCTGATCTCAAGGCACTGTCATCTTTTTCCCAAATGAATTGCAAGCTTTGGCAGCAGTAAATAGATCTTGGTTTATAGATTTGGGTGGTTTTTGCTTCTGTTCTTCTTTTTTAAAAAATCAATACAGTTCTGGAATATTTGTAAATGTCTTTATAAATTAATCCTTTAGATTTGGCCTTTTATACCACTATTATAAAGAATAAGGTCCCCTAAATGAGTCAGTAAATCTTTAATGAAATTGAATAAGTTAGTGCATGATGAATTGGTTACATAGTTCCACTAATTAATTTATCCTTGGCTTTGCCATTAACATCAGACAACACAATAAATGTCAGCCGAGTTAAAGCTTAGAACAATATTGGTCTTTAGTGCAAAATGAAGTTGCCAGCAATGCTAAGTGATTTTTATATAAGGCAAATGTGAATGCTGCAAATAAGTAAACAGCTTCTTTGCCACATTGCTGGTATATTTTCATCGTGTATTATTATTAGAAATAAAAAGTAAAAAAAGAGCTACTCGGAGGAAGTTAGAGCATTTAAAGAAAATAACACTAGACTGCTAACCAAAACATGTGATTACTCAATCAAAGGACAAAATCAAAAGGACTCCAGCTGTACTTGATTGTAATTGAGGAGAGGCAGCGTTACTCACCAGGTTACAACACCAGACCCGTTGCTAGGATGGTAATTCCCACGCACGTGTCATTCATGTAAACGAGTACTGAACAAGATAACTGATTTGTAACCTCAACCCAATTCCAGGTGAACATATTTCATTCAGCAGCTTGACACTAAGAGCAGACCAAATCTGCCTTTTAGAGGAAAAGGTGTCACCGGATTGCAGAGGGAAAGTTTGTGTAGCAGCTGGGTGCTCTCACCTGATAGCACCGAGAGCTGCCACACGGCTTGTTATGGGCTTTTCATTTAAGGGGAAAAATATTGGCCAGGTCAACTGAAGTACGTTCTCTGTTTTTTTGCTTTGCTTTGTACTGATTCTTACTATTTCCAGACTAAATTTCATAGCCAATTTAAAGCCCTATATATATATTTTGTCAACAGTGACCTCTCCTCTCTCCTTTATGTTTACCTCCTGATATATTTATAGACTTTAATAGTATCTTCTCTCAGCCTTCATTTCGTTAGGTAAAAAAAGCTAAGCACTTCTATTCTCCTATGTAGGACAGGCTTTTTTTCCCCCTTTCTATCTTTACAGACACTCTGCATTTGCACCAGATGTAGGAAATACTTCTTAAAGGTGAATAAGGTCTGGCATGAAAAAAAGTTCACCAAAATCTTGCACAGAAGCATCAATACTTCTCTGTTGCTCTGGAAAATACCTTACCTTACACTCTAGGACTGCAATGCTATTTTTGTTTCTTTCCTGAGCCACAGAAAACTGCTTGAAGCTATTCTATTGACCACAAATCCATTTAGTTTTGGTGGATTTTTTCTTCCTCTTTTCTTCCAGAAGCTGATTGCCCAACTCGTAGTGAAACTGCCTGGTTTTTGAGTGCAAATATCTTCACTTAAAACAGAAATAAAAAGCAACACTAAAGGAACTTGTGCTGTCTGTGGTTCATGACTAGGAATACTTTGCCTAGTTTCTTTCTAACTTAGGTGACATTCAGTCTCACTGAGTATCTTCCTCAGTGCACTTTGAGGGCCTTCAAAGTCAGTTCACCATCTGCCCAGGTAGGGAAGTGGGCAGTAGACTCTCAAGTACATTCCGGAGCTCTTCAGAGCTGGCAGGTTGCACTGTAGGAGGTGCTGGCTGCTGCTAGCACTGTGATGGCTAACTCTGAATCGGAGAGGAGTTCCTGCTTGGCTTTCCACGGGATCTCCTGAGGATATTTTGGCACTTGTACTCTACATTGCTGGTAAATCCCAGGAAAGAGATAAATCTGAGAGTACACAGTTCCTAGGGCCATCCTTCAGAAATGATTTACATTAACTTTAGAGGTCCTTTTGTGTTTGTGGCCAAGATTGGGATTTGGAGACAACAGCACCGTAAGCAGCCACTTCGCGCTCAGACATCAAGAGAGCTGCTCTCAAGATGCTGTTCCCTGCAGTGTCTAAACCACCACATTGCCTGACTCTGCTGGGACATCTGAAGACCTTCTGTAATTTGTGCCAGAACGAGGAACTCTACCACCTGCTTAAAGCCTCCCAAAATTTAAAAATCACGCTTTCCTCTGACCCCTAAACTGATCAAAAATTCAAAATCCTGATACAATTTTATAGCAAATACAAAATGGTGGGAACAAAATACAAGACACAATGATCTTCAGAGCAAAGATGATGATAGCATTCATCCTGGAAATTTAAACCTGAACATTGTCCTCAAATGCTCAAGAGGTTGAAAGCCATCCATTTTTCCTACCAATTCCAATAAAATTAAGAAACACCACAGAAATTTTCAGCTTCATATAATGAATATTTTTTGTGAAATGTAAATGAACAGTCTCTATTATTATTTATATCCTGTCTGTATTTTGCCATCCTGTACCATTCTTGCCATGGTTTATAATTTTTGCTATAGCATCTATGCTATACATTAGGATGAGTACATTATTCACTGTGGAACATTCTTTCAACTCCTGTCTTTGTGCATGACCCTGACTTAACCCATTTGGTATGGGTCTTTGAAATATCATACTTATAACAATGTGTGTATATATTACAGAAGAGAAGGAAATTAAGGATAAGGAGGTAGATAGCAGAGTTTAAAGATCAAGCCACAGCTGATAGCAATTAGTGAGCATTACAGGAAAATAAATGCGTGCTGGACTGAGATTCACTAACCACACAAAGGCAATGATACTGCAATATCTTGTAATAGCTAGCAAAATATTGCAGTAACAGCTTCTGGCTAATTGCACTATTGTTATCTAAATACACAGTGGTACTTAGGTTTTCAATACAATATTCTTTTGCTGCTTTACATGCCACTTAGCATTAACGTCACCTTATTTTTCAAATTTTGAAAGTGCTGGGTGTCATTACAAGCCTGAAAAAATCAACAAGCTGGAATTAGTGACTTTTAAAATAGCAGTATATTGAGAAAAAGATGGAAGATAAAATTTTATCTTCCATGTGAAGACTACAGGCAGTCAGGATGTGTTGCAGGTGTCGTTTTCCTTCTATGCCTATATTCATAGACTCCTGCTTGTGAAAGACATACGCCTGTTGTGTTGACACAAAGTAATTCAGTGACCACTTACTGGCACTGCAGAATGGAGAACCAAGAGCAAAGTTTGCAATCACTATGGAAACCGCCTCTCCTGTTGCTGTGTTGACACTGGCACATCTGTTAGACATAGCAACAGTGCTGGAGGATTCTTTCCAAGGAAGCTCTTCATGAGACTTCTGTCTGGGACAGGGCTCAGGGCTGCAGGGTTTGTTTCAACAACAATCTGACAGTCTGCACAAGCGTGATTTTATGTTCACTCTGCCCATGTAAGACAATTCTTTGCTTTCTTTTGAATGTTAGGAGAACTGCAGAGTAAAACACCTGTAGAGGCAAATTCAAATCTAAACTACAAGGTCCATCACTTAGATGTTACATCAAAGGAAGAAAGGGTCCAGCAAGTAGCAAATTGAGAGCTTCTTCCGCATGGTATGTGGTCTGTTAAATATCTATTACTACTGAATTTAGGGGTTTAGAGCAAATTATTTGTCTAATAGGTCTTTCCTCTCCTCTCCTCTCCTCTCCTCTCCTCTCCTCTCCTCTCCTCTCCTCTCCTCTCCTCTCCTTTTTTTCTTTCTTCCTGCCTCCCTTTCTTACACCTTTCTTTCCCTTCTTTTCCTTTGATTGGTTGGTCGTGGTTTGCTTTTTTTTTTTTTTTTTTTTTTTTTTTTTTTAATGCTGCTTTATGCATGAGATATCACTTTGTTTTCTTCTTTAGTGTTCCAAACCTCATCTGCCAGTGAAACACACACCAGCATGTCAAAGTATTTTCTAGCATCAGTTGCTGCAATACCATTCTGTGTGAAAATGGAGGTGATTATGTTCCTCTAAGGGAACTAAGAGATACTTTTATGGCTTGGACTTGAAGCTATTCTTATGATCCAGAGCCTCTCATTAAGTTAGTACTTGTCTTTCAATAAACAGATTAAATAGATGTTTATTTTGTTTATTTTGAAACATGTACCTTAAACAAATTTAAAAGACTTTGCTGTGAAACATTAAATCATGTCACAAAATTAAAGTATTCTTTACTGCACTGTACAGACATATTGAGGTAGTAGCTTGATCTTTTTCTCTAGGAAGTCTTTCAAAATATGTCCTTTGCTACCTGTGATAATAGGTTATGGTATGTTTTGATTCATATAAGCTCTTCAATGTTTGTACTACTCTTTAAAAAGAAGACCTTTTAAAGATCTTGACAAATTAACAGAAGGTGTATAACATTCCCATAGCAAATGCAGCAGTGTTCATAAAAAGCTGTAATGCTACAAAACAGTTTACGGTTAAACTGCTGCAGAGCAGCTGAGGGTGACTGTTGTGACTGGTACACTTAGGATATAATGTAATTACACAGATGAAAGCAGGAGGAAGGAAGAGTCACAGAGCCAACTTATTCATCATACCTCCACAAAATGCTCTGTAATTTCCTTTTTAAGAGCTGGTGTTACACTACAATATCTTCTGATTGGTATTCCATTATTTGTCTGTTATGAGAGTTTATATAGATTTTAAAAAATATTAAAAAACACACCAAAGAAAGCAGATGATTGTTTGAATTTTCTGATCCTGATGCACTTTACTAATTGTACTCTGAGTTAGTACAGCAATATGACTGGGAAGAAAATTCTAAGACTTTGTTTTTATAATTTATATTGCATCAGAATCCCTCCTGTGCTATAATAAACAGTAACTTGTTACTTTTGTTTATATATAAATTAACCACAGAGATAAGACATTGTTAACTTTTCAGCTAACAGTTTGTGTAATTGATGGTGCATTTATACCAATGTATGTACAAACAATAGTGGTCTCATATTTAATCCTTGAAAGCCACTAGTACGGTATGTTTTGCAGTGGTTAGAAAGAACTCAGCGCTTAACTGCTGCTTGACAGTTACATCTTTTTAAATGCTTTCTCACATTTATTAGTATTGGGAGTCAAAATGGAAAGCCTTTGTCTTTGTAGGAATCACTGGAAATAAAAATGGATGGAAAAGGATGTGTTCCTGTCTGCCAGGAAGAAAAGAAAAAAAAAAGGAAATAGAGAAAAAAACATGTTGTGTTTTGCTGAAAGTTTTAATTGTGAATTATAGAATCGTGGAATTGTTTGAGTTGGAGCAGGCCATTAAAAACCATGTTGTCCAACTTCACTGCAATAAAGAGGGACAGCTACAGCTAGATCAGGTTGCTTTGAGCCCTATCCAGCCTGACCTTGATTGTCTCCAGGGGCAGGTTATCCACCACCTCTCTGGGCAACAAATTTAATGGAGAAAGACTGCATCTGTTAAATGGTGTTAGTTTGAAAAGATCTTACCAAGTTTGATAGCCATGCTCTCTATCAACAGGACATCCCTGGATGTGGAATGAGGTCAACAAGACTTTTATGTTTAAATTTCTTTTCCCAGTAGCTCTGGACCTGTATTTTGAATTCCAAAGGCAAAAGGATTCACCAAGACACACAGCAAGTGTAGTGCTGGGGCTGGAGCGCAGAGGCACAGGCAGGTAGTTCTTATGGGTGGTAGGATGACATCGGGATCTGAACTGCTGCAGAGCATGGCCACACTTCACCCTCAGGAGCAAGTAGTGTCAAAGGAGGTTCAAAGCACCACATTTACAACCATGAAACAAGCTTCCTACTGATTTCAGTACCTGACATAACACATGTATGGAAACTGCTGAGTCACGGCCTGAACCTCTGATTAATCACCTGAGGCAAGCAATGAGTCAGCCCTGGGAGCACAGGTGAAAGCAATTCACCTGTGCTGCAGGAAGGGGTGGAGCCTGGCTCCACCTCTCCTAGACCCATTTAAGTGCTGACTACCAGTGGGAAAGGGTCTCTCTCTCTTTGGAAGATCCACTCCACTGGTCTTTCCTGAGCAAGCCCATGACACAGGTAAGCATCCTATTTATTCTCTGTGTCTTGCTGTGCCTAACTCTCTTGCTTATTTCATTATTATAACATCTTAATATTATTTGATTATATAATATTCCTTTATATAATTTTCATTGATTATACACACAAATGTTCAGACTCAATGCAAATTGTCCTGTCTGTCCCTCCTACTTTCTACTAGTAGTGACAACACAGCAAGTATGGTGCTCCCTTCTCTCTACTGCATGATGTCAGTGAAAATGACACAGGGAGCAGGGGTGGAGGAAATAAAGGCCATATCTTAAACTTACTTAGTACAGTATGCTGTGGCAGTACTTAAATGTGTAATTGTTCCCTGATGTGAATTGCCTTCAGTAGATGGAGAGAGATGGAGAATAATTTGTCTTGCCAAAGCTTCACAAACAAGTGAATGTCACAGGTGTGGGCTTAACTCCAGAGATCCTGAACTCCTTGTGTCTTGTGGACAGCCTCATGCTCTGCTGCACACTGGCAGGTAAATGATTTCACTTGTTATTTTATTACTCTGCAAAGAAGTTTTGTGTTTTGTTTTGTTTTTTATTGTGGTGCAATATTGTGAACACTTGAAATGTTTAGAATGTATTTCAAGCTCAGCAGGCTTTTTTTTCAGAGGATGAAATTAGCCACTGGAGTTAGGTCTCTGTAAACACTCGCTGCTGGAGAACTGAAGCGTCATAAAAGGGTGTTGTATTCTTTCTGAAACCAGCATTTTCTGGAAGCGTTACTCACAGGAATGAAAATGTCCCAAAGCACAGAATTACATTTCTTCAGAAAGACTGAAAGTAATTGTACTGCAGGATTTCAGAGATGCTACAGGAATTAGGCTGCCTTGAAGGAAATGACATCAAACCCTTTGGAAAACAACTTTCACTCAATTGAATCACCATGTTACACCATCCCATTTCCTTCATTCATTTTACTTTTAGGACTGTTCAGAATTGCTGTAACACTCATTTTCTGATTATTTTTTATTACAGTCTAAAGACTATCATTATTATAGCAGTACAAAAAGTATATATTCTTTCATTTGCTTTCCCAGTCTTTCCATTTCTGAACCAACATGAATCTACACCAGATCTTGCCATCATACTGTTACACCCTGCACCACCTTTCCATTAATATCTTACAACTTGCTGCATTCCACATTTAGCATTTTGGTTTAACTCCATGAATTGATACCTTTTCCCCAAAAATACTTGATTTTTTTGACCCTTTATGACATCTTTCCTATAGCATGTTTCTTGCCAGGCCAACTACCTTTGTTCTTAATATATTAACAGCAAGTTGTATTTCTCTCTCTGTTTCTCTCATTATTAAACACACTGTTGTTCCCTGGTTTCTAATTGGTGAAAGTGTTTCTGACAGGTAGGTCTGTGCTCTCACTTTCTTCTTGCTCTTTCCCTTCAAGTTTAGCATTTCTCCACACCACATCTCTTTGGGCACTGACTTAGAGTAGATAATGAACTGTATTTTTTCCCCCTGCCAAAAGTTATATAAACCTTCCCCCTTATGGCACCTGCCAGTCAGAAAAAGTTTAATGGAGTTTTTTTAATAGTTTTCATACTGCAAACTACCAGAAAAGACATTAACTTACAGCTACTTGATGTATGTATGATGTATATGAATATTGTCCCCAGTTTGATGTCAACAATTCAAGAAGGTGATCAGAGACTTTTATTTGAATTTTCTGCATCTTTTTTTGAGGGCTGAATTCATGCTTTCTAGAGATTGGCATGAGACAAGTTGTTTAATTTGCATAGATCAGGAAGAGAGGTAGAGATACACAGAATTTGAGGACAGCAGGAACAATTAATTCATACTGTTTGATTTATGTAACCAAAAGATATTCAAAAGGTTGTTCTTCTTCCATAAATCAAGCCCAAGGACTTTACCTAGTTAAGCCAGATAACTCAGATTTCCAAAAAGATGAGTTACAGAAAGTGGGTGGAAGAGTTCAATTTGTGACCAATGCCTCTGCAACAGTACAAAACTGATCGAATCAGGTAAACCCAGATGATTCCAATAGATAAACCATATCTTCTGGTGCACCAAAGAGACAATATAACAAATAAACACCATGCTCCATTATCACAAAAAGGAGACAGAGTGTTGTTGTTCAACTGATTAAATTCAAGTACATGAGCAGACACAATGACAGATTTCATTTGGAGTATTGGTGTAAATGCTCTATATCTTGGTGTAGATGTTGCAAGCTACAACAAGATAATGCTTCAGAAAAAAAGAGAAAAATAAACAAAAGCAGCTGGAAATTCCTTCCTGACCCCCTGCAAGTAGATAATTCAAACCCTTAAGCTCTGATTAACCTAATCGGGTTGAAGTATAAGCATTATGAGAGTACTGAGATAATAGATGGTATTCTGAATCCAGGTAATAAAGAAGAATTGGATCAAGATGCAGAAATAGGATGAGATTTCTTAGTTCATAGAAAAGAGGATGATTGGATTTACTGACAATTAAGAACAGCTATGTAGAAAGACTGTCATGAAACTAGGCAGAAAGTAAGCTACTTAATCATCACTGTGATCATTGTTGCCTTTGTAGGCAACAAGACAGATTTTCAAATTCTATGATTTTATCTGTGGCTTCCCCTTTAATCTCATTATATGTCTACATCTTTCAAGCTGCAGATACTACTTCCAGTTATGCTAACCCAAAAGTGATGATGCAATGGAAAGTTGCATGTACCCACACTGGGATGATAAAGTTTCTAGCAGCTATTGCCAGTCTACCACATGAAGGTAGAATGAGGATCATACAGCTTTAAAATTAGGAGAAGTCAGACTGGACATTTAGGAAGAATGAAAAAAATTAAGCATTACAACAACTTAGTACTCCATCAGCAGAAATACTGTGGTGAAAGTTGAATGTCTTTCTCAATCAGTGCACTCTAGTTCCACATGTACTGTGGAGGGTGTCACCCCAGAGCAGTTGGCAGTGGAGTTTTTTGCCTTTATAATCTGTGAGGTGAAAACTACAGGACCCTATTTCACTCTACACAGATGACAGCTCTGTGGCACAGGAGATGAGCCCCTCCCTCTGCCTGTGGCTGATGAAGGAGGCTGAATTGTTCTGCTTGATGAAGTGCAGTCTCCTCCTGCTGCTGCTTTCTTACAGACACATTTGCAGCATTTCTATCTGTGGATCTGCCAAATTCTGTAAAAGGAGGTCATATTTGGCCTTGTTTGAGACAAAGACTTCTCTGTTTTTTATGAAGGTGTTCTGACTGGTTTATCATCACTATGAGCACTGCAGATGAAAAAGATGTAGAGGATGTTAAGAAATAAAAAGGAAACTAGAAGACAGACTAGTTAATGTTTCAGAGAAAGTTTGTTGTAATGAATACAAATGAAAATCAGTAGCTTTATAGCAAATTATATTCCAGCTGCATTCATTCTGTATATTCTGCTTGTTTGCACATCACTGCAGCCAGAACTGATAAAACTGGCAGGTAGGATTATTTTGAAAGGCTTTTGCTTCAGTAAGAATCTAATTCATGCAAAGGAGACAAAGATGTGACTGTGATGAAATGCTGTGGTGAGACATTAATTACAGGAGGAGGCTGCAAACCTTCAGAATTTCTATTTCAGAGAGGCCCAGAAATGTGGGTACCTTCTTAACTTCTTGAAGACATACAGTGGGCAGCTCTCTCCTGTTTCCAAACAATTTTCTCTTGCGCTCTGTTCCACACACTCTTACTCCCTCAAGAACAAGGCAAATGAGACTCCCTGTCTCAAGTGGGTTTGAAAATCTCTGGTTATCTGGCCTGCACATACCCTATAGCATTTCCCTCTTTGCTCCTCCTTGCCTGGCATGTGCTTTCCTCTCTATTCTGCATAGGGTGAAACTCAGAGAATCACTTTCTTAAAACAAACTAGCTTTAAGTTTACTCCCAAGCAATTCAGTGCAATCTCTGCTTCCCTCTCTATCTTTTAGGCACTGACTGGGCTGATACGCTGGCTCACCCCGGGGCTACAAGCACACCAACTAGTCTCCTTGCAAGGGGACAGGCACTTGAGAAGGTCTTTCAGTACTGAAGACTTGTGCAATCAGGAAACAACAAACACTTTTGTCCTTCAGGAATCCTTCACTGATTTTCTTCACTGATTTTGAATTTGTTTGGCAAAATCAACATGCCTTGCTGGGTTTTCTTTATTCTTTGTTGATCCAAGGCATGGCTTTACCTCCAGCAAGCAGATTTTCTTTAAAGTATCATTATATGAATTCTAAAGTTTATTTCTTCTTCCTCATCTTGTAGGGGACAAAGAGACAGAAGGGAATGGTGAAATAATCAGGAGAAGATAAGTAACGTGCTACTTTTGAAGTGAGTACTTATACAAAAGTGCCTTTACTCTCTTCTGTCAATGTAAAGAGGACCAAAACTTTCATTTACTTCCCTTTTCACCATCAAAATGGAGCTGTGGAGGCCTGGTATAGTGAAGAATTGGGCTTTCCAACTATGCAAAATCAGTACATTGGGAAGACTTACGACTGTAGGAGAGGAGAAAGAAATGTGTGTTGGTCATTGTTACAAAGATGAATATTACATATTTTGACTTATTCTAATTTAATGAACCCCAGAAAGCACTTTTAGTGTTTACTTTTTCCTCATTTGATTCTAATTAACCTTTCCCATGATTCAGATGTCTGACAAATGTGGAGGGCTGCAGGGCTAAGTGCTTTTTTCCCATGATTGACTTTAATTAAGCATGCTCCAGGCTTGAAACCCTTGTAAACTTAAAGAACTTTATTTTAATTGCCTTCTGCCACATTTACTTATGCTAGACAAATAATATAAATCAAATATCAATGCTATTAGAAGAACGAAGAACTGACTTACAAAATAGTCTGCCATGGGAAAACATATTACACTCTAAATGTGAATAGAAAATACTATTGTGGGAGAAAGATGACATATTTCATGAAGGAAACTTCTGGAACTTTAACAGCTTTTCATTTTCTGCACAGTAGGTATGTTAAGAAACCAAGTTTCAAACTACTGTTATTCTTCTCCAGTTTCAGTGTTAATAGGTTATATTCATTAAAACATGAAATTTTTAACTGCATACATCAAGAACTTATTTCAGGCTTTGGACTGTTCAACAGCTCTCTGTTGCAGCTGTTGGAATGAGGCAGTTCAATCTTAATTAGGAGACCTTGTCACCTAAATTGCATGAGTTTTCTGCTCCCTGAGCTTAACCCAAGAAAATCTAACAAAGAGTTAGGTATCAGTACTTGTACAAATACTGATGTTTTTGTTCAAAACACTGCAAAAAAAAAATAGTGCTCCAGCAGATATTTGGAGAAATAAATCAAAGATCATCCATATTTTTTTAGTCAATATGAAGATTTTATCCAAATATTTGTTTGTTCTTCTATTGATTGATAGAGTTTTAATATAAAATTCTGCCTGGCTTACAGGTGAAGAATATTCTTACTATGAAAATGAATAACATATCTTATTTTCACTCTGCATTCTATTGGTATGATCTGAACTGAGTGTTTTAGAGAGGAATCTTGAGTTGCAGAGAGTAATCTTGAGTCACACAAAGGCACTGTACTGCACATTTTTGCTCCTTTAACATCATGCTGTAGGTTCTGAAGGATCAGCTGAGTTATATTTACCAAATTAGGTTTCTCCTATGAAAACTCTTTACTCTTGACAGGAGTAGTGTGGCTGTCACGCTAGGATGACACCCTGAGAAAACCTTTTGAATTTGCTGTGGCTGAAACTGCTTACCATTAATAAAAAAAAAAACAAAACAAATTAAAAAAAAAAAAAAAGTGAGGAGCCTTTACTGGAAAGAAGCCTGGCAAAACTGTCTTTGTGCTTAATTATAGTAGAGCAGCAGTCTTGAAATATGAGCTAACCTTTTGCTTCGGTAACCAAAATCCTGAAAATAGATGACACAGGGGTTAACAGTGCTGTCTCAATCTTGATGTCTCTGTTTCCCTTTTCTAAGACAGTGCAGTATACACTAAATTATTTTTAAAAAATTATTATAGATGTGACTTAGATCAAGTTAATTCCAAAATCAAAATCTTTACATCTGCACCCAGAAATAGAGCAAAGGAATACCTGAATATTTAATCAGTGAAGGCATCATAACATACATAAACATGCACATGCGTCCATTCCTTAATATGTTCGTTTAAGAAAACATTTTTCTCTAAAAGCAGATCCTGCAAAAGGTAGCAGATTGACAGCTCTGTTAGTTCTATTTATCCAGTTAACATGTACTGCTGAAACCACTGCAGCATGAGGGTCTCCATGGGGGCCACCTTTGGCTTCAAAAGAATAATTACATTGGTACTCGGCTTCCAAGAATGCCAATAACAACACTGTACCAAGGTGGCAGCTTTCAGATCCCAGCCCAGGACTACAAGATGTTCCAGGCTAACCTAAAATCAAGTGTCAAAACCTGCACAGAGCTGAAGGAAAACTGTTTACCTTTCTGGAGATTGTAAAGACTGCAGTTTAATTCCTGATTTTGACATGTTTAGAAGTCCTGTTGAATGATCTCAGATTAAAAGGGTAAGCTAGGATACATGGTGGGAGATGCACAATGTAGATACTGACACTTGATGCAGTTTGTTTTTAAAGTACCCTGAGCCCTCTAAATTGCAGAGCATTAATTTAAAATGGGAGATATAAGCCATTTGATGTACTGTGGCTTTTTCCTGCCTGTGTCTCTTTGCTTAGTCAGTCACTATTATTCACGAGGAAAAAAATCTAGAGCCATTTCCTGGTTTTAATTAATTCTATTTTACATCCTGACGCTTTAACTTGCTCTTGATCAGCTTCTAAGTGATCTGTTTGACAGGTCTATCTTTAATTCTGAGTAATTGCCAAATCATTTTGCAATTTATCAGAAATGTGAAGAATAACTCTAGCTAGAAAGAGCTATTATTCTTCAAGAATGAAAGCAAACTCTTAGAAAAGGGCCTGGGAGATTCAAGAAAAATTGTAATGTCATGTGAAATTCCTGAGTGGTAGACCCCCATCAGATTTCTAGCAAGACTGCTGAGTAATTGTGCATTCCATAAACACTGCAATGATCTGGCTTGAATGAAAGAACCTGCCTACATTCTATTGCTTTATTTAGACTAAGTTGAAAACCCTGCAGTATATTACAATCTATTGAACGTGCTCATTTTGCGGAGATGTTTTCAATGCCCTTTTTTACTGGGTGAGAGTATTGATAGTTGGTATCAGCCTTCAGGAACATCTGTAATTACAAACTAAACTACAGTGCTTCTGACTGAATATTTGTAAAACTCTGCATAATAACTACAATAAGTTTCCTTTCAGCTTGTTCACTCTGTACAAAATCCCAGGCACAGACAGTCACATTTGCTCCCTATTGAGTCATTGTTATCTGGGGAAAGCTCTTTTGCCAGCTGTCAATAGTGGGAACAAGGACCTTACATGGAAAGGTCCTTTTCTAGAACTGCTTAGACTATAACCTATGTACATTTATGTTTCTTTTTTTTGTCTCTGGGAAATTAAACGAAAACTATATCTGGGCTGAACATTTTAATGAATTGTAAGCTTATAAAAAAAAAAAAGGGGGGGGAGGGAGGGTGTGACGGGGGGGTGAGGCAGATCTAGGACAATTTTCAAATTCAGCGGAGTTGGGAGAAAACTGGCATGAAGCTTTGATCCAGAAGAAATAATGGAGAAAATATTTTCTAAAAGGCTATTTTTTTTCAAAAACCTACACCATGTAATGATGCGTTCTTCACTCAGAAATGGAATATATTTATTTCAAATTCAGTAATTTATTTAGTGTTATTTTTAAAAAATAACTCGTAAGACCAAAACAAAACCTCAGTGTCATGATAATGAAATAGGTATCTCCAAACTTTGTTTTCTTTAAAATTTTGTTTGGAATACTGAACATAAAATTGATTATTTACACAGAAGCTCTCTCGTGGTCTAGATTTGGTTATTTTCAGGGTCATAAATATTGCTAAAACCATGCAACCAGAAAGTCTTCCCCTGCTGAGAGAGAGCACAGGAGGGATGAAGCTATGTATGTTGGTATTATTAACAACAGAGCAAAGCGTATAGGAACTATAATCAATGGCACAGCTGCAAGGAGTTCATTATGTAGCTGGTAGGAACTAAGAATATGGACAGATAGTAATTCCCTTTGACATTTAATATTTTACTTAGAAGTGATGGGTGTGATTGGCATTCCCTTCACTCTAGTGGAGATTCTAGTGGAGATCACACTTCACAGAACCATTGAATCATTTAATGGCTTGGGTTGGAAGAGACCTTAAAGATCATTTAGATTTAACTTCCTGTCATAATCAGAGTTGTCACCCACCAGATCAAGCTGCCCAGGGCCACAGCCAACCTGGCCTTGAACACCTTCAGGAACTATGAATCCACAACTTCTCACAACAACTTCACAGAACAGTAGCCTGTTCCAGTGCCTCACCACTCTAAGAGTAAAAAATGTGCTCCTAATATCTCATTTAAATCTCCTCTCTTTTAGTTTAAAACTGTTCTGCCTTGTCCTATTACTCTCAGATTGTATAAAAAATTAGTTTCCCTCCTCATCTTAGGTATTTGAAAGCTGCAGTGAGATCTCCCCAGTGCCTTCTCCTCAGCATTTCTTCATAAGAATCAGAATTATTAAGGCCAGAAAAGATCTCTACATCATCTAGTCCAACTGTTCACCTACCACCAGTACTGCCCACTAAACTATGTCCCTAAGTACTGTATCTACCCTTTCCTTTAATATCTCTAGGGCTGGTGACTCCACCACCTCCCTGGGCAGCCTGTTCCAATGCCTTACCAATGAAAAGAATTTCTTCCAAATATCCAACCTGAACCTCCACTGGCACAACTTGAGCCCATTCCCTCTTGTTCTATTGCTAGTTAAGAAGAGGGAGAAGAGACTGACCCTCACCTCACCACAACTTCCTTTAAGGTAGTTGCAGAGTGATAAGGTTTCCCTGCAGCCTCCTATTCTTCAGACTAAAAAATCCCAGTTTGCTCAGCTCCTCATAAGACTTATGTTCCAAATTTTTCATCAGCTTTGTTGTCCTTTTCTGGACACTTGGGCTTCAATGTCTTTCTTGTAGTAAAAGGCCCAAAACTGGATGCAGTACTCAAGGTGCAGCCTCACCAGTGCTGAGTTCTGGAGGATAATCAGTTCCCTAATACTGCAGGCCATACTATTTCTGATACAAACCAGGATGCTATTGGTCTTCTTGGCCATCTCAGCACACTGCTGTCTCATATTCAGCTGAGCAATGACCAACACCCCAAGATCCTTTCCTCTGCATAGTCTTCCAGCCACTGAACCCCAGGTCAGTAGTGTGGGGTTGTTGTGACCAAAGTGCAAGACTCAACACTTGTCTTGCTGAACTTTATCCCATTGCCTCAGCCCATCAATTCAATTTGTCCGGATTCCTCTTTAGAGCCTTCCTACCCTTAGGCAGATTGACACTTTTCCCCAGCTTGGTGTAGTCTACAGACTTACTGAGGGTGCACTCAATTTCCTCATCCAAATCACCAATAAAGATATTAAACAGAATGGGCCCCAATACTGACCCCTGGGGAGCACCACTCATCACCAGTTTCCACCTGGACATAGAGATGTTGACCAAATCTTTCTAGCTTTGATCATCCAACCAATTTCTTATCTAATTCGGCCTCTACTGTAGAGTTCCATCTCCTAAATACTTTTTGGTATATGTTAAAAGTCACCTCAGTGGGAGCACTTCCTTATAAAATGCTCTGCTTTCAGTCCTAGATCGATCACTACTTGAATAATCCAGAGAGCCCAGCAGATTTAATTCCTGTGAGATTTCTAGATCTGGGACTTACTCAAGGTAATGACACTACAATATATGTACACACACATATATGTTTATCAATTCATTAATTGTTCTCATAGTCTAAATCCTGATACAGCAAGACTACTGCCCTCCTTCCAGAGAACTGGCAAATGAAGAAGTCATTCTAACCATAGAAAAATTTATTGGGCAGAGGAGCACAATAGTGTTACCATGGAGAAGAGAGATGGGAATGATTCCTCCATGGTCTAGGATCACATGGTTGCCTCATCTGTGTTTCTTATAGCTAGAATATTTTATTATCTCCAGATAAAAAAACTAGCAAACAAACTAATTAAAAACAAACAAACAAACACAGAAACTCCCACCAGCAACAAAAACAAATAAGGAAGTAAACAGACTTAAAATAATGGAGGAACATGAAAGAAACCCTATAGAAGGCAGACACAAAGGCAAACTCTTTACTTTTAGGGTGTGGCATTTTGGGGGGAATTTCTTCCTGGAAGCAGCAAATATGTGGCAAAACAGAAAAAGAAAAATGTAAGTATTTCCTTCTTCCCAGATGTGCAGATTAAAAGAATACTGGTTGCTAATACTATTGCTATGATTTGGCTCATAGCAAATGCACCTTCATAAAATATCACGCCATATTGCTGCAGCTGGCTGGATAATATCTGGATGATATCTGTTCCTGCGATTGTCATTGCCAAGCAAAGAGATATGCCAAATTATTAAAAAGTGCATTAAAGTCCCAGTTCCTCTTATTACTCCTTGTGCTCCTTGCTCCAATTCTTTTCATGTTGTTCTGGTACACGGGGAGATAATGAAGAAGTTACATAACTAATTAAAGCAGATCTATTTTTTTTATAAAGACTTTGGAATTGACTTTATTGGGAATTAGCAAAATAAATTCCCAAGTGTATCTCAACACTATTACAAAAAAAAAAAAAAAAGTTGGATTTACTTGCTTTGGCTTTCAGGAGTGCTGTTTTAATATAGACTTTCCCCATAGTCAGAGGTATTTTCTCTCTTACTAGCATACATTGAAGCGAGGGGTATCATTTTTATCATGAAGTGTAGAAACGCAGAGGCAGTTAGCAAAGCATGAGGTGCTGAAGGAAGGCTTACTGAAATCACTGAAAAGATTCACACTGACTGCACTGACCATGGGTGAATATTAAAGACCCCATGCACATCCTATTGTAATCAACTTTTTTTAATTAAGAAGGCTCTATTTCTAATGAATAACCAGAGATTTATAATGGAGATGGGGAAGAAGAGTTAGGAAAAACAGGAAAAAACGTTTCTGATATGATTCAGGTTTTTGAAAGAATGGGTGTGTGACTGTGATTGAGACGTACTGTGCAAGCAGAAACTTCTCTTGTATCACGAGCTCTGAGAGACTGGTTTCTTTGGTTTCACAACATTCTGTTGCTATGCAAAAACAACATCATCTCATCCACTACACGGGGCAAAAGGAAGAGAAAGAAAATATTTTAAATTTTTTACCAAGAGCAAACCTGAGCAAAAAACCACTCCATTTCTAATTGGTTGGTATAACTGGTAGATATTTTCCTGCTCTTTATGCCAACATCTTTTTTGTTCCTTTTGTTGGAAGAAGTCAGGAAAGGACGAGTAAAGAAAAGAGACAGAAAGGGAAAGTTACATTTTGGCAGATCTGAATACATTTTTTCCCCCCATGGAACCGTCTGTGAAAAGAGCAAAAAAAAAAAAAAAAATTCCACTATCATCACCTTTTTTAAAAATCATAATTATTAATATATGTGGAAAAGATACTAATTGAAGAAAAATGTCTCTTTTTTGTAAAATAAATCTCTATGAAATAGTAAACCCCAAATTCAGAGACCATCATATATTTTTGAGCTACCATGTTCACTTTGGTATGTTAAAAATGTACATCTGCATTGAAAAGACTGGTCTCACATAGCTACTTTGCCATTAAATATATATTTTAGACTGTATATTTTCAGGTTTGGCAAATTGAATCCAGAATGAATATTCTCTCCCATCCCTTAAGCCTATAAATACTGCTCTGCATCCATATCTCCAGTGTGACCTGTTTGAAGCATTGAATCTCTTGCTCACAAATGACCAGACACAGGGAAAAAGTTAGGGTGAGACTAAACCTTGCAGGGATCTGCCTCATAACCTTGGGCTGTTCAGTAGTAACTGATAATGTATGTTTTGCTCTATATAAATGATGCTGACTGCACACAGCAAATATATATTTTTAATCATGGAATTGCTTTTATTGCAATCTATGGTCGTCTAAACTTGGAAACATAGGTTGTTGAGTGATGAGCAAAAGAGGTGATATGCTGACTGCATACATGTATTTATGTGCATGGCTCCCACATACAGACACAGATGAAGAAACACTGAAGTTTCAGGTGCCTTTTTTCTGAAATAGATGCAGAGAGACTGAGAAGAATCAAATGGTTTTAAAGAACAAAAGTTCGGGGAAATAGGTACAGCAGTAAGCCTGGTAATTTATGAGCAATGTGAAGGATTTACTACACTTCTGCATCACTTCATATGATAAATTTTCTTTGGTCACTGCCTTCTGACTCACCATGAGAATTAATTTGCAAACCTGAGATATCTAAATGGTAAATTATCAAGTTTATTATTCATGATGAATACCAAATCATTGTAGTAACATTCCTATTTTTTTTCATTTAGTATTTCATATTCACACAAGATGAAAAGTTCTTAAGGTAAAACTTCAAGTTGCATAAAACTTGGCATACGTACTTTGCTTCAGTTCACTATTTCTGACATTGTCTTTCAGCATTCTTCATTTGAACTGGGTTATTTTTGTTTTGTTTTTCTTTTTGCAATATCTGTGCAGGAATTTGATTTCTCAACAAAATAGCACTTCGAATTTTTGCTAAGTCTGTTGTTTTTCTGCCTGGCTAAAACTACAATATCATAGTGGTTTATGTTACTTTTTTTGTTTTCTATTGTTCTCATCCTTTGTCCTCTGTTGTCCTCTGCACTCTGAAAGGTGTGCTGATTAGAGCAGAGACAGGAAAAATATTCAGGGAAATGATGCAGAAAGACTACTCAAATTTTTCTGAAACATTTTGGGAATACTGTAGCAGTAACATAGATGTCACCTCCTGCCATTCGTACAAATTGCTTCAACTCATTTCCTAGTTTCAGTCTGAGTTGTATTTCTAAGCTTTTAATTTCTAGTTATTATTTTAAAGGTCAGCCAGCCTGGACAACCAGCACAGCAATGACATGAGTTAATCATTTAGCTATAATGGTGTTAACTCACGTGAAATACAGTGGCAGCATCTCACTGAAACTGAAAGAAAATTTTCACATGGGTCTGACTACATTGATCATGAAGTTGAATGGAACGTGAACCTGCAAGCAAGGTACTCCCTGATAATTATACATGTATCCTGTGATAATTTTATACACTTGTGTTAAATGCAAGGCACTTTACACAATCATTGAGAATGAATGAAAGCAGCTTTTAATTTACCATGTACTGGAGAACTGTGGTGGTAACTTCACAACTCAACTTCTCCAGTGATAACTTGCTCTTCTGTCTGCATTTTAAAAAGACCAGCAGAAATATCTCAGTAATCCCTACTCCCTGAGAAGAGATTGGGATGAGAACAGAATGATGTAGATGCCTGCACAGAAGTGTCTGGAGCCTCCTGAATCTCATGGTTCTTACAAAAGGAATTACAGGTTACTTATATTTATGTTCTTTCTACATCAGAAACAGATCTGAAAAACTAGAAATACGTATCTTCATGCATTAGCAGCACATTACCTTCTTGATCAAACCAACTCATTTTGGTCATGATTTTTAAAACTGTCTAAACAATTGTTGTCAGAAAGTTGCAAGTTCTATATTCAAAAAAATATAGTTCATTTACAGTATTTGAATCAACAGATGGCCAGAATAAGAGATGGAATATTGCTAGTCATCTCTGAAAGCTCTGAAAGGCTTGGCTATTTTTTTTGAAGCCACAGAAAGCCACATGACGAGAAAGATTTTTTCTTTTACAAAACTGAGCATCACAAGTTGTCATTTGTCTGTCTGTTGTCCACTGCTCCAAGCACAACATTAACTCCTCAGACAGGGCAGGCAGTAATATTGACGTTGTTCCCTACAAAAATAACATCTTTAATATCTAGATGAGCTTTTATAGGAGTCCTGTGGACTCCCTGACATTTACATTCCAAACCAGTGTTGACAATGTTAAGGCCACTTCTCTTTTGGGCTAATAACGATCACTTTGTTTGCAGTTCAGAGAAATTAATGCTCAGCAGCTGAGGGGACAGGAACCATGACAGAAAGCCTCCAAAATAGACACAAATCCTTGCAGATGTTGTGACATTACATTATCAATGGAAATGGAGTTGACAGGGAAGTTAAGACTATATGAGAGGAAATTACAGTCTTAAGAAAATGACAAAGAAATCCATGTCAGCCAAGATCTGTGTAAAAGATACCAAGTAATAGTTACAGATGAAGACTGATACTAAACAAACACAAACTGAAAGACAAAAGTATTCCTTTTGATTATGTGGTTTCTTGTATGACTGGAGTGGCTTCGCTACGTGTTTGTTCCCATAGTGACCGCTTGTTATTCCTCAAAGACTGGATCAAAATTCCTTTCCTGATCTGGCTTAAAGCAACTGTTCAACCACAGGCAACAGCATGTGCAGTGAATGCCACAATGAGCAGTGCTCCTCATATTTCCCATCAAAGATCACTCTGTTGACTCACACTGAACTTTTGCCAGGAGCCTATGGGGAAGTACTGCTCCTCTTTGATCACCTCCTATCAGGGTGATAGCTGGGCTCATCCTCACTAACACTGGTAACAGCAAAGAGGATTATCTGCAGTGGAAGTAGTGCCCTGAAGGAGCAGAGAGAGAAAGACAGGCTTTCATGAAAATGAGCCTTTTTTTCAAGTAAGCATTTAAAAACTGGAGGGATACCACCAGATTGAGATTTACCACTGTTTTTGTCATAAAGCAATAATAATAAAGAATGGACTTTTGTCTATTAAAAAAAGTTGCTTGCAATATTGCTTATAACTAAAGAAAAATAAAAACCATGTGACAGCCCAGCAATTCAAGAACCTAATGGGCTTTGATACACAGCTTCCACAGAGCTTGTGCAAATACAGATTAACTTTAAAAATGCTTCACTCCCCAGTGGACAGATGTTCTACTTTTGAAATTGAGAGGCAGTCAAGGAGAGCAGATTGTCTACTGAGTGCTACTTAAGGGTTGGGAATGAAGATGCACAGGACAGCAATGTGTTAGGAACACTAAATAACCCTCCCTATATCTCCTTCAGTGCTACAGCCTCTTGTTAGACAAAACTGCGCTGCATCTGGAGAAACATCAAGGAAGTGCCTTAACCTAGTCCCTCCTGGGACATTGTGTGCTCATGAGAATGCACACAGCTGGGTCATTGGAGTTGGTCATAGCTCAAGGTTCACTTGATGTTATCTAGGTGTCTCCCTTAGCTGTAGTCATTCAGTGCAATAAAAGTCTCACAAAAAATTTGGATCCTGCATGTTAGGTTATCCTCGAAAACCTCAAACCATAGCAATGCACAAAGGGCACTACAGCCCCAGAATTCCCACAGCTTGGGTGAAATCCTCAGGGCAGGAAGCAAAACAGAGCCCCAAAGCCACCCCCCTATCACAGTGGAAAATCTTCTTTCTGCATGTTTAATATGATGTGGACCAAGCTGTACTCTTCTTGATAGCAGTATATATAGCTCATTACAGTAGCTACTGGAATAATGAAAATTTCATTTACTTCTATTTTATGCTTTTCCATGGTTTTAATTTTGGGAACTGGAAATAGTTGAGTCAGCTTCAGTTTCCAGTCTTGTTGACATACTCTGCAGTTGGCACTGTGGCTTACACACTACTCTGAAAAAGGTGAGGGGGTGTTTAATTTGCTAATGATTACTTAAAAATGCATATATATTGAGATAAAAAGAAAAAAAAAAGTCATGAAAATATTCCCATTTCAAACATGACAGACTTTGGTATGTCTGAAGCTCTATCTTAATACATCCTAGATTCTATTCAAAGTTAACCTGTTAGCAACTAGTCAATTACCATGAGAAAAAAAAAAGATACTGCTGGTTCCAGTTCTTCAATGTTCTGAATTAATAGTGGGAGCTGGGAAAGAATGAGAAAGTGAACCCTAGAAGGTGATGAATATTTCTGTTAGAAGTGCTAAGCAATTGAAATAAATCATTATGAAAAGTGAGCAACATGTGAAGCACAGGCAACAAATAACTGGACACTTTTTTTGTTACCGGTCAGTACAAAAGTCTGTTTGTAACCATGGCAACAGGGAGTCCAAATTTACAGCATCATTACTAACCAATATTGAAGGGTAGCTTATAACACTTTTCTCTCTCAAGAGATATTACCTTCTTTCCCCACAGTGCCTTACAGATATGTGCTTTGACCTGAGGTTTCTTCCTTCACAGAGAAGATCTACAGTAGGTTCTGGTAAGTCCTGTTACTTATACATTTCTCTTCCACATGAAGCAGGCTGGACCTCATCACACATTGTATTTCGGGTTATCTGAGATTGTTTTTCCTCTCAAATATCTGTGATAAATAATAAAATTTTCTTCAGACAGCAAGGCAAAGTCTCTTTCTAGTTCTGAGACCAATATAAGTTTTCCCTGCAACACTTCACGTCCATCCTACACATTGGTGGAAGCGTGCCAGAAAAACACCACATAAGAACAACTTGATATTTAATGTCATTGTTCTGCTGAAACTCTTTGAAATTGCTTCTGGATAATCACTGTTGAAAAGTAAATATGCATTCATAAAATTATGATAGTTACACTCGAAAAGTCAATATGCCTATCTTTCTTCTCAGGATTAAACTGTAAGAAACAGACAAATTGTTCTGGATACAGAACTCACAGGGGCAGGGTTCAGCAAAGCTCCTGTCTGGCCTGGACCTAAAAGCCTTTTGTTGTTGTTTTAAACAGTAGTTATTTTTCTTGATTATAGAATTCCCTCAAGAATTCCCCCACTTTTAAATATTTGGGCTCTCTGTAAGTTAAAAAATTACCTGTTCTAAAACATTTTACAATAGTATACCTGCATTTTCATTGGGAGCCTAATTGAATAAACTTAATTGCACCTAGTTTTGTACTTAATGCTAAGTGTTTTCTTCTGCTAACTTGTTAAACCAGCACTTCAACTTTTTTCCAATTATTTAGAATACCAGCGTTATCTGGGTAGATTGAGTTATTCCTACAGTACTATCAAACCCTTTCTTAGATCCATCTTGGTTCTGCCATGCTAAGAGATTTCTCTGCTTGCAGCTAAAGCCTGATTTATTCCTCTTATTTGTCATATTGCAGTTTGCATACAAACAACTTCCTTTTATCAGTGCACTCTTTCTCACATTATTTACCCTTTCATCTATGTTTTACAAGTTGATCCAGCTAGGAAACCAGAAGACAGCTCTGAGTAACTGAAAGCACCGTCATCTAGCCATTCAATAAACTGTGCTATAATAAAAGGTCAAATGATGCACCAGTATGTTTATGTACACCAATGTTCTGTCATGACATAAATGCACTTAAACAAATCTTACTGAATCAACCAAGGAAAAAAAGTAATGTCCTTTTTTCATCATACACTCCTTGTACCACCTCTTTGTGTCTTAAATGAAAAAAACTGCAGGTACTTTCCTCATGAATGCACATTTTTTAAAGCATGAGTTTTTTTAAATTTAGCATCAATTCTGAACTCTGTATTTTCCTGGTTTTGTTTTGATTTTCCCTTTGGCCTCTAATTCTATTTATATTAGAAATCATCTCTTGTTTTCATAAAACTGCTCTCCAGATGAACAAAACTGTGAATAGCAGCTATGTTCCTGGTAATCCACATTCAGAAGTCTCAGACAGGATTGTAAACAGCAATATCATTTTACAGTAATATCTACTTTGCAGTCAGCTGATGAGCTCAGCCAAAAAAAAAATAGTATCATATATTTATATATTTGCCACAGGTATTTTATCTGTGTAGTGATGTAACCCAGCAGGTAGCTCAGCACCACTGAGCCACTTGTTCACTCTCCCCAGATGGGATGGCAGAGAGAATTGGAACAGTGAGACTGCAGGAATACATGGGTTGAGAGAAAGTTGAGTTGACTATGTAAAACAAAAGCTACATGCACAAGCAAAGCAAGGAATTCACATGCTTCTTTCCATCAGTAGGCAGATGTTCAGCTACTCTCAGAAAAGCAGGACTTATCACACATGAACAGTTTCTTGGGAAGACAAACACCATTATTGACTTCTTCATTCTTTACCACAGCTTTTGTTGCTATGCATGATGCCATGTGTTACGGGAAATCTATTTGAACAGACTGGGGAAGCTGTCCTGGCTGCGTCCCTTTCCAGCTCCCTGTGCACCCCCCAAGCACCCTTGATGGCAGGGCAGCATGAGGAGCTGAAATGTCCTTGGCTCTGTGCAGAGATGCTCTGCAAAAGCCAAATCACTGGTGTGATATCAATATTGATTTGTTGTGTAGGTTTTTTTTTCCCCTAAATACAAAATACAGCATCATAAGTCTCTTTGAAGAAAATTAACTCTATCTCACATCAAACCATGAGAATTTATAATTATAAAAGAAAGAATTTTTCACAGGCTAACAAACTTTTAATAATACTGATATCCTAACATTATGGATTGGAGATATGAGATACAGGAGATACAAAATATCTCTACTGCTTTTGAATTTTTCTGGCATAGTACACCAAGATTATCAATATTTGAAACGTTTGGGGGGGAAAAAAAAGGGAAATTAGCTCTTAACTACTTCTTAGTACCATCATTCAGTCTTCATAGTAATTTTCTTTTATCTTGCTGCTATGTGAACTAATATAAGCACTGACTCCTCCAGCCAGATGGAAATTTCATAGAATCATGGAATGGGTTGTGTTGGGAGGGACCTCTAAGATCATCTAGTTCCAACCCCCCTTGCTATAGGCATGGACACCTTCCCTCTAGACCAAGTTGCTCAAAGCCCCATCCAGCCTGGCCTTGAATGCTTCCAGGGAGGGGGCATCACAGCCTCACTGGGCAACCTTTTCCAGTGTCTCACAGTGTCTTCACAGTGAAGATTTTCTTCCTAACATCTACTCTAAATCTACCCTCTTCCAGTTTAAAACCATTTCCTCTAATCCTGTTGCTACATGCCCTTCCTGCACTTATAAGAAGTCCATTCCCATCTTTCCTGTAGGCCCCCTTCTGTACTGTACTGAAAGGCTGCTATAAGGTTCCCCTGGAGCCTTCTCTTCCCCAGACTGAGGAGCCCCAACTCTCTCAGCCTGTCCTCATAGGGGAGGCGCTCTAATTTGCTATGTAATATGACAGTGTTTTTCATGGAATGTAATAGTAAAATGATATTTTGCTGCTTTTTCCTGTAGCATTCTTCAGTAGCCATACTTTATTAGAAAATCAGTGCCTAGCATTTGCTCGACTCATGGGAGTCTCAGAACTCATAATCCTATACTTTTATTTGCCTCTAGAGATATGGAAACTATGCCTAAATTTTATGAGTAGAAGTTTCATTATATTTTAACAGGTATGAAATTCTTTATTAATACCTTGCTTTTTTTGTGATTTTTTTTTCCACTTGTATTCTAGAGTAAATGAGCTCATCCCAACAACTTTTTGCTCTAGAAGTTTCTTCAGTATCATCACATGCTCATGTGTACCATGATGAAAAGGAATAATCAGTTAAGGCTTAAAAACTAAAAGTAAGAAACAGATAAGTTGCTTGTAGTTTAGAAGTGCTTACTTCAGCAGCCTTCAATTCCATCCCTGAGGCGAAATATACTAACGTGAAATGTACTAAATACTACTTTAGGTCTTAAATGCTGATAGGGAAACAATGTAAAGGAAAAAACTCTGTTTTTACTTTCAAAGGAGCTAGGGCCTCTCAGTTGGCATGGGTTTAATTTCAAATGCTGAGTTGTCACTACTTTGGAAGTCCAAGTCATGCAGGTTTGACCTCAGGAACAATTATCCAGAATCAAAGAGTATTAAATAAATGGAAAAATAAATGAAAACAATTTTTGTCAAAGTATTTTAACTCCCAGCTCAGGGGAATTATCTTCCATTTCATGGAAGATACACAGAATTGGAGGATTTCCCCTTTTTTTTTTTTTAAATGGTTTTGTTTATTTTTTCTATTTTATTCTTAGGATAGCTGAACAGCCTGAGAGACATCCATGCTGGGAGATAATCTTATGCCTTTCTCTTGATCACTAACTCCCAATATACTCTCCGTCTGGCTTTTGCTATGTTCTTAAGGGATTCCCTCTGAAAACAAAACTGAGGTACAACCAGAACAGTTTTATGTGGAACCTGTATTATCCTGAATAGTGGGAAGCAGATGAAATCCAGGTTGTGAAAAATTGAAGAAAAACAGCACTCCTGTACCTTATCCCAGCTCCATTTACTCTAAGAGATCAGTTTGTCTTCAGGTAAGTGAAAATAAGTAGTGAATCGTTTGTCTTGCTTCTAGCCTTGCGATGTCTCAACAGGGTACCAATATCATATTTATTATATCTTTTTGGTACCCTGAATAAACTTACTACACAAAAAAGAGCGTCAAACAAAAAGAGATTCAAGAGTTTTGTTACTAAGGCTTTGATAGAAGGTCTAGGTTACAAATACATTGACTCACTGTGTACTCTCCTTTCTACAGGAAAATGTTCTTGGACATTTTGGTGTTGAGGCAAGTAGGTCAGGCACTCTCCTGACCAGGGTCTTCGGGTGCCTGCCTTCACATGTATCTGCATCCCTGGATCAAAGGAGAAGCACATCTAATGAGAAACCACAACACCACAACAATTATCTGTGCACCTCACACTGACAGCAGGTTTGGCTGCAGAACAGCCTTGGGACGGGCTCACCCTTTGCCACTGCACTTTCCCTCACCTCCAGAAGTACAGAAAAACCCTTTTGAAATTTGTCATGTCCCTCAACATTCTCACATTGCCCTCCTCTATGCATGTTATGCCAACAGCTTAGGAATGGATGTAACTACAGCCATAGAACATCCCAAGATCAAAAGAACCTACAAAGATCATCTAGTGCAAATCCAGGCTCCATACAGGACCACACAGAATTCAAATCCTATGTTTGAAAGCACTGTCCAATCACTTATTGAACTCCAGCACTTGGGGCCGTGCCCACCACCCTGTGGTGCAGCAGCTGTCCCTAACCCCCAGCTGCCCTCCCCTGACACAGCTCCATGCCGTTCCCTCGGACCCTGTTGCTGTCACACAGAGCAGAGCTCAGCGCTGCCCCTCCGCTCCCTGTGAGGAGCTGCAGCCGCCATCAGGCCTCCCCTCAGCTCCTCTGCCCTGCGCACACCGAGACCTCAGTTGCACTTCATACTTCTTGCCCTATGGATCCTTCATCATTTTCATAGCCCTCCTTTAGACTCTAATAGTTTTATGCCCTTATACTGTGATACCCCAAACTGCACTGTAAGCATACATCCTTCACAATCACAGATAATCACAAAGCACATGTCAAGGATTTCCCATTTGTACATATGAGGCTACTGAGCTTCATCTCTACGTGACGTGCAAGTTAATCACACTTCCTTTCATATAATCAGTGAGTTATATGCTATCTTTTCAAGAAAAACACAAGGATGATCTTTTTATCTTTTTTCCATAGGTATCTGTGCCTCCCTAGTTAAACTAGCAGTGCCCTGGCAGACCTTCTGGTACTACTTCAGGACTCCTGAAAAACAAAAATCAAGCACTTCTGAGCGATTTCCAGGAACCACAACTAAGCCCAAAGTAGCTATGGGAACTGCCTGGGGTAGAGCAGAGAAGTCCTGTTAGGAGCTCTCAACAGTGCAGTGCAGCTGTTTTTAAAGGGCAATGACAGGGGAACACATGCAAAGTGGTATGTACTTGATGCTGTATGCAGAGATCCCAATTCCACACACTACTTGAGATCAAGCAAAACAAGAAATGAATACTATTCGCTGAATCTATACCTGCACTATAAGTTAATGATTACATTTTTCCTTTCAAATACTGCTGCTTTTATCCCTAATTGTAACTTCAGCTCAGGAAAAGAAAATATCCCTCTAGTTGCATGCTGGAGGCTGACATCCTCCCAGATTTTTTTTCATCTGACTGTTTCCTAAATAGTAGCAGGCTGCAGTATTGTATTAAGACATTTTCATCTCCCAGCTCCCAATCTTACATGACTGAAGCAATCAGTTCAGCACAGCATGATGGAGAAAAGGCAGATTGAACAAATGATTCAGAGGTGAGGTGAGGATAAATGTGTCTCAATTGAATTAATTTTTAGGAAGTTTTCATAAATAGTAAACTTTTGTCTTGTTTTCAGTCTCAGCTTGTTTTCCACAGCACAAATGAATCACTGGCAAATTTGTTTGCAGCTACTTCAATACTAAGCAAGTGAAATTAAAACAAAGAATTGCCATTATTAGTTTTTCTGAAATATATCAATTTTAGTTCAGTGGAACACACGCTGTATGTCTGGCGGTTTGGTTAATTAAAATATTTTGTATAAAACAGTGTGGAAAACATCTTTGACCCAGCAGAAATTGTGGTAGTAAACCTAGCACAGAACAATTACTCAAGATAGGTTTTTTCCTGTTTGGTCATTAAATTTTCATGATCATACCTAAGAGCAAATATCAGTACTGTGACAGTTTCCTATGATAAACAGGATGCTACCTGTTAATCATCTGTGCAAATATTTAAGATACTTAAGTAACATTGCTGTCCTCAGTATTGTATTAAGCTGCTTAGTATGTGGTGCTATCCTTCCTTTTCCCATAGGAAAAATTCCCCTGACTCGCTCTGAGATTACAATTATTGGTGTTCTCTGGATGCCATAATTGACTTTAACATTCTGGAAAAACATGGGTAATACTTATTTGTGAGTAGTGCTTTGACATTTGAGAACTGTGAAGCTGTTTGGTATTCAACATCTTCCACTTGCATGGAAGTTTAGGACAAGGCTCTTCCTTGCCTGAAAGATACTGCTTATTACACAGTCAGCATTATACCCTGTAATCAAACAGAATAAAATTTGAAGTTCCATTAAAAAATATGAAGAAGGCAGTGTAGGAGCTAGAAGTGTAATAATTATAGACAGTGCTTTCCTTGAATTTTAAGTGTAATGTTCAATTGCATGTTTGCATCCAGATGTAAATAGTACACTCAGTAGGCAGCAAGATTTCACACAGATAGCCTGGAGGTTTGCAGTAGGCTGCTTAGCAATTGCGGGCCAGTTCCCAGCTGGAATAAGCTGCTGTAACTCCTCCTGAGTTCACATCTACTGCCCGTGTCCCAGCAATACACAGTTGCAGGTCACTGCCAGGAAGGCAACATGAAGATAAACGAACCTTGGTCTGATTCAGCACCTTGGTCTGATTCAGTCTTTTCTTATGACTAGTAAGATTTAGTATTTTTCATTGCTATTAAAATTCTTATTAGTGATAATTATTATTAATGATACAAAAGCATTGATAAACAAGACATAGGCGTACCTTCTAACCACAGCTCAGTTCCTGCCAGGAAATGAAACACTGCATCAGCAGTGGGATCGGGGTCAGCAAGCAGAGCATATCTTTCCAATATACACACGTTCTGGGAGTTGTGCTTGTAGAATCATCGCCCTTTAGACTAACAGTGCCTGGTGAGAGTGCTCCAGTATCTTGTTGTGGCTACCGTAAATGATTTGATGTTGCCTCATCATTCACACGTATGATCTCCATCTGAAGGCTCTGTGCAAGTAATGCAAAACACAGGATCACATCCCTTGCACATTCCCTCTGGCCAACAGCTGGCAGAACAGGCAGCAGCAAGAGTCCATTCATTTAGTATGTCAGCTACCTGCAAGCTTGAGTTTATGAACATGACTACCAAGCAACAACTGGAAAGCAAGTTATCTTTGAGATCTTAGTTAATACTAATCAGTCTGATTTCCTGACTTTGATACTACCAGCATTTTTGCTTGAGTGTCTTTCAGATATAAATGATATACAGTTTTAGCTGGCCAAATAAAGCTATCAGAATGCAGCCCAGGGGTTGCTAATGATCTCTTGACAGTTAAATACATAACATCTTCCAAATCTATATTGTTGTCTTTTTAAAGTTACCAACTGGTCATGTACCAGTGTAATGCTCAATTTAAATAGGAGAGACATAATAGAAACTTTTAACAAGAAGTATGTCAGATGATGTTTGTTCTTATTAATTAGCATCTTGAGATACCTACTTCAACAATAAGAGCAGGAGTTCTGCCTAATTAGTGGCTATCAGAAATATTAACGTGGTTTGGACTGACATTATTAATCCAATGTCTATTATTCCATCCAATCTCTGCATTTACTGTAACACTTGACCTACAAGAGCTGCTCCAGAAATAATGCATCCTATTTTAGGATGTTGGCCCATAACATCAAAGGCAGGTGTTGGTGGTATAGCAGTAGAGGTTGAACCACCCCACTGGTACTGTTACATTTTGTTGCTGTGTGACAGATGGCAGCAGAAGGGCATTCTGACACAGAAGTGCAGATGAAGCAAAGATGTGTCACTGAGTTCCTTCACATGGAAAAAAAAAAATGCACCCACTGATGTTTATCAGCACTTAAAGAACATTTATGTAGACGAACCAGTGGATATGAGCACAGTGAGGTAGTGGGTGTTGCATTTCAGTAGTGGAACAGTGACATGAAAGCCATGCACAGCTGTCACGCCACAAAACAAGGAGAATCTTGATCAGCCTCTCCACATGAATCAGCTAACAGCTGCCTCTACACTGGAAAATAGTGTTTTGTAGCAGAGAATTTGTTCTACCAAGTAGTGTTTATTGTGCTCTTTTTATCTGTCATGCTTCCATGGAAATAAATAAATAGGTTACTCTGAAATTAATGTTTCCTATGTTTTCCTCAGCTTCAAATGCTGAGGCTATGGAGGCTCTCTTTATCTCAACCAATGTATTGGTTAGTAGAATGCAGAGTTATCAAGTGCACCAACATTAGAAAATAAAATTCCTAAGGGAAAGCTCGGTTCAAGCAAACTAGTCAGTATTACATTTCCAGGAAGTTTATTAATAAAAAGAAAAGTAGATCACTAATACTGAGCACAGATGTGTGTTCTCCCTATTTTAATCCCATAATTAAATTTGCGGGTTACAGGTATTCCTATTGCTGACAATGGATAATGTTAAATTCTAGAAAAAAGGGTACCCTGGCACAAATCTTCCATTTCTTTGCTTCCTTCCATAACATGATATTGTAAGTGAGACTGCGTATTTCTTATGTTAGACCTAATAAGATCTGTATCATAGTGGTACTTTTTATGTTCGTGTCTGAAGTAGTGGCCTCAGAGAAGTTCCCATCCTGTCTTCTCATATGATGTCTTAGCACTGTGAAGGAATTTCCCCTTTTTTATTTCACTATCTTTACGTTGA